GACGGACGCGGATGATCTCCTGGAGGAGACGCGAGGGGAAGTTGATGAGAGTCAGCAGCTCTTCGATGTAGGGCGGAAGATGTCTCTCGGCAAAGCCTTCGGCGTTGGCGATGAGGGTGGCCTTGGCCTTCTGGATGACCTTCTCGAGCGGGGCCAGCAGGTTGGTGTCGCCCTGCAGGGACTTGAGGCCATCCTCCTTGAGTATCCGGTCAATAAACGAAGAGTCGTCGGTGAGATGGTGGTCCTGGGACGAGCGCGGGCGGGGCTTGGTGAAGTCGAGCTCCTCGTTGCCGACCCATTTCTTAAGGATGGACATTTCGGTGTTGATGAGGGCGATGGTGTTGTGCCAGGCGATGACGGCGTCGCAGGCGTCCTTGTAGGGCTGCGAGGCGGCGCGGGGATAGGCAGCCTCGAGGGCCTGGCGCGTGGGGTAGACGCTCTCGACCTTTTCGATCTTCTTGACAATGTCCTCGACCTGCTGGGCGGCTGTCTGGCCGGCCTCAGCCTCGCCGCCGACTTCGAACGAGATGATGCTCTCGAGGTTGGCGCGGATCTTGCTGCGGGTGTCGTCGACGATGCGGCGCTGGGCCTGCAGCGAGCGGCCGCAGACCTTGGCGCGGATGCCCATCCAGATCTCGGCCTTCATGGTGCTGTCGCCCTGCTGCTCGGTGCTACCGATGAGGCGCTTCTTCTCCTGCTTGACCACGTCGCCGGTGAGGACGCTGGCGAGCATGCTGTGCCACTCGAGGCGCTCGCGGTTGGCGGGGATCTTGAGCTCCTCGATCGAGGGCTGCATGTCGTCGTTGCCATAGTAGAGCAGCGTCTCCTGGTCGTAGGGGTCGTTCTCGACATACTCGGCGGTCGAGGGCGACTCGTCGTCCGTCTCGGAGTCGGTGCTGTAGCCCAGGCTCGGGGTGCGCAGGGCCGGGTCGAAGAAGTCGTCCTGCTGGTCCTCCTGGCGGATGCGCTGGACGTAGGCCTTTTCCTGGGCGCGGTACTCGGCGTTGGGGTTGCGGCGGCTGCGCGTGGCCGAGTTGTTGCGCGGGCGGTGGGCGGATGAGTTCAGCGAGAACTGCTGCGGGCGGCGGGCAGGTGCGTATGCGCTGCTGATGGTGCGGCCAGGCGTTGGGCGGGCGGCTCTGGTGGTCGAGGTCGGCGCGCTGCCCCCGTTGGGCGTCTGCGGCGGCAGGTCCGTCATGATGGCAGGCCCGCGAGAGCGCGAGGAGGAAGCGTTGCTGTTCCACGAGTACTGGGGCTCGCGCAGAGGCGCCACTTGGTCGCGGCTGGTGGTGGTCGTCGTGGGCTCGCCGGGCGACGTCGTCTCGTCCATCGAGTCGCCAGACGACCCCGAGGCGCTGCTCGTCAAGCCCGGGCGTTCGGGCGCATTGACTACGACGGGCTTGGTCGCGTCCGCCATGGCCATGTTGTTCAGCAGGACGTTGTGGGGAGCGGCTCTCGAAAAACGCACGCTGCCATGCCCGCTCATGTTGACGACGACGGCCGCCTTTGCCGTTGTGGGTAAGGATCAGCGCCGAAACAGGTTCGCGGGATGTTGTGGCGGTGCAGCACAGACAGGTGGTGAGATGAGGAAGAGCACTGGATTGCACTGTACTACCTATACACCCACTGCCTGGTAGCACCTTCACTGGTTCCTAGGCAGCTTCCGCGCCTTCCACCCGGCTCGCAAACTCCCTAGCCTCCCACCTCTTAGCCTCCCAGCTCTTTGCCATCCAAGACAGCAGCAATCTTGGAACTGCCATACAGCCTCCAGTCGCCACAAGCTTCACGCTAGCCCTCCTAGCGCCATCCTTCCCTCACCAACATCCTCGAGGCTACCCCAGCGACCTCACCACCAATCTCGCTGCAGACCCAAATCGGCTGTCGCTCCCGGGAGATCGATGCGTCCAGCTTCGGCCATCAGGGTCCATTCGGCGCGCTCGTCATTTTAAACTCGCGATGTTTCCATTACCGCGCTCCCCTAGCACGTGTCTAGACTCCGCGACATGACCACGGCATTATGTATAGCCGTTGGGATCGGCCACCTGCATCGCGTCGAGTATGACGCAGCATCAACGTCTGCTGTTTCACCAAACTGCTCGACAAAGCAATGCGTATTTGCTTACGTCGGAGCAGCACACGCCTCCGCAGGCGCACCCATGCCAATGGACATTGCTCACAAAAGAAATATGCATCACCACGGCGCGTACGATGATGACGTCAACCACGCGTTCCACACATCTGGGAAATCACTCATCTCCATCGAAGTTGTTTGAACAAATAATATTATGGTCCATCCTATAGGACTATTGCACTGCACACCCCTAGATATCCTTCCTGGCCAGCTTGCTCTTCTGTCTGATCTGCTTGCCCCACTTGTAAAGCACAAATGGAATCGGGAGAAAGGCAATACCCAGGAAGCCCAACAAACTGCTCGCCCAGTTTATGCCCAACTTTTGGTACATGGCATTGGCGAACAGGGGGAATCCCGCACCGAACGACGACCTCATCAAGTCGTTGCCTGCCAGTACACTAGCTACAGAGTCGGGGTAAGCATCCGACAGGTAAGGTAGGACAGCCTGGAAGAGCGTGAAGGCAGCGATACCGAAGCATCCAGATCCGATAATGGGCACAATCCAGTGCACATCCGAGCGTGAAGTCCATCCGAACCAGAAGAGACAGATGGGCACAAAGAAGCAGCCGACCATGGCAGGGATGAGACGCTTCTCTGGCGCGATGTTGCCGTCATCGTCGAACTGCTTCTCCAGGTAGTAGTAATTCCACGCGAAGAGCACAATGACGGCGATGAATGTACCAACGAGGATACCCAGAAACGCAACACCCTCAAGGCCGAGGTTGAAGCCGTACAGTCCGGAGAACACAAGAGGGAACGATTCGAACCAGATGTAGAGTAGACCGTAGATGAGTGCGATGTACAAATTTAGCAGGAACACGATAGGTTCCTTGAACATGAGGGTGATGGGTTTGAGAAGACTCATGTTGAGAACCTGAGGTAGTGTTAGCAGTGATTGGGTCTAATGGAAGAGGTGCAACATACGTCCTTTCCTGACATCTCAGCAGACATGATATCCGGTTCGCAAGTAAGACGGTCGTCGCCAGTCAGCTTCTTGAGCCTGCGTGTCCTGCGGTGTAAGATGTTGGGCGCGCTTGTCTCCGGCAGGAGGAAGAACAGGAAGACCCAGCAGAAACCCGAGAGCCACATGATCTCCCACATGGTCCACCTCCAACCTTCAGCCATGACGGCGAAGCCACCCACAAGAGGACCGAGAACAGGACCGCAGACAGCGCCAATTCCCCAGACTGCGAGACCGTACACTTGTTTCTTGGGTCGGTACATGTCGGCGATGGAGGCTCCTCCTGTCGCGAGTGCCGGCGAACCAAAGAATCCAGTCAGGAATCGGAAAGCGAGTAGCATGCCGAAGTTGACGGAGAGAGCAGTAGGGATCTGGAGAAGGACGAAGATGACTGTTGGTGTCGGTTAGCATGCCATGTCGATGTGAACGGATGGCTGCACTTACGAAGGGTAATAATGTAAACCCAGAGACGGCCAATCTGCGAAATCTCGCTCATGGGTGACCAGAGGAGAGGACCAAGACCGTATCCAGCAACATACAGCGTCAATCCCAAGGTCGCGGGGACCTGAGCAACGCCAAACTCTGCCATCACGCCCATGAGACCGGGCGTGTAGATGGCTGAACCAATGTATACCGAGAAAGTGAGGAAGCAAATCTCAAAGGTGACGAAGTACCGTTTTCCTCGCGACCAATTCTTTGGGTTCTACAGAGCCGTCAGTACAATCCAAAGATGTGAACATGGAGCAAACATACCTGAGCATCATCCGGTCCATACCAATCAATAACGTGAAGGTCCTTGCCCTTCTCAGGATCGACTCTCAAGCCGCTGGCCTCGTTGACACCATTGCCCACGGTACGCGACGACGTCTCGGAATCGCGTCCCTCCCGGTTCCTCACACCATGCGTTTGAGCGAGCTCATCGATCTCGTCCTTGTTTTCCGGCGCCTGTGTAGATCCATGGTAGGCCGCATACCCAGACTTCTCATGACTGACATACTTCTTCCAAATCTCGGGGTCCTTCTCTTCGGGATATTGAAGATATTTGTTGCGCGTCACAAGACGGACGATATGGCCAAAAGCCGAGTCGCGGATGAGATCAAACATGATGCTCACTCACGAGAAATGTGTTGGACAGAGCAGAGCAGGTGGGCTTGGAATGATTAAAGACACAACTACTCCCACCGAAGCCCTGGCATCGAATGCTTAAGTCCACTACACACCCGTGACATCATCATCCCCATCACGCCCACCAGCTCGATCTAAGAAACCCTAAGGAAGCTTATCCGTCCGCCAGGCGCCGCAAGAGGCACCCACGGCCTCCGAAAACACCCCTTGTAGTCACAACTGCCAAGGAATTCCGGCTCGAAAAGCTTAGCTTGACACAAGATCTGGACTGGTGATGGCATTTGTGCGCGAGGCTATCGAAAAGTCCATGACGCGACCGCATCGTTGAGATCGGCGCCAGGGCACTCAGATCGCGCGCACACTCACGCGAAGGAGATCTGGCGTTTTACCTAATTCGCTCGGAATGCTGCGGATGGACTACGCGTGGTGTATTTGTGATGGGAGGAATGCGCTGGCGGACGGGCGAATGACGTGCCGGGTGAAAATTGTTTATCTATCATTTAGGTTTTGTTGTGGTGTTCTGGACTGGATGTCGGTGTGATGACGTCGTGAGTGAAGAGGTTGCGCGTGGCTGGTAGGGCGAGTCGTGCGCGCTACTGGTCATGACTCGTCGATATGTGCGATCGAAAAACCCGTGGACTCCGGGACGTAGACTTGATGTCTCACTTGCTAGGGCGCAACATCGAAATTGCATCAGAGTAGGAATGGATGAGCATTACAATGAATGGCAAGCTCATTGAAGCAAGTAAGCAAAGCAAAGCACTTACGCCGTCAGTAGTCACCTCAACACCTATCTACTTTCATTGCCATCTCAGTCCTCACGTCGAATTCCCTAATCTTCTCCCTCTGTGCATCGTCACACACCATTTCCCTTTCCGTATCCACCCAGTTCTGCCACGAACCAAACGTGTCCAGCCTCTCCTTGACACTAAGCCCATCATCTCGGGTCCTCATATCCATATCAGCGCCAGCCTGTCTCAGCACCGCAAAAGCCTTGACCCAACACCTCGACACAGCGTAGTGCAATGGCGTCCATCCATTTTCATCGGTGTGGTTCACGTGCGCGCCGTGGTCGATCAGCGCTTGTGCGATGTAGGGATTTGAACATAGACATAGTGGCGTTCGGGCCTTGTTATCTTCAGAGTGTGGTGAGACGCCTTTGGATAAGAGGAGTCTGGTAGCTTCAAGATTGTGAAACTCAGATGCGAGATGCAGTGGTTTGCGGCCGCTGCCATCGCGAGCTGTGATATCGGTGTCTGCATGCTTGAGCAGGTCGAGTGGTGGACTACTTTCCCTGTCTGCACCGCGATCCATGTGTAGAGGTCGTTTGAGCGCGATGTGAAGGGGGCGGTCGCCGGTGTTTTGGCAAATGACGTTTGGGTCTGCGCCGTAGGAGAGCAAGGCGGGAACGACCGTGGGGGTATCTGCCATGCACGCGAGTGCTAGGGGTGTGTATCCCCCATGATCTTCCACATTGATGATGTCGTTGCAAGACTTTCCTAACATGAATTCCACAATACGGTTCATACTAGCCTGTGCTGCATAATGCAAAGCAAGTCGTCCTTTTTCGGTCGTACGTTGTTGGACAGAGGCACCTCGTACCAGTAAGAAAAGAGCTGCAGCTTCATGGCCTTCCGCTATGGCAGCGATCAATGGGGTAAGGCCTGCATCGTCTACAGCATCGATGTTCAGTGGCTCCTCTTCGGCTAGATCCAGATCAAGGAGAAACCTGAGCACTTTGACTTGCCCACACGCGGCGGCAATTTGCAAAGCTCCCTGTCCTTTCTTGTTGACAGCAGACACGTCTGCGCAGCGTGTAACCAGAAAGTTGATCAGCTCCACGTCCATTTCGCAGGCCAGAAGAAGAGGTGACATGCCGTCGTTGCTCTGCGCGTTGATGTCGGCGCCTTCTCGTCTAAGTGCGTCAATGAGCACTTTTTGGTTGTATTTGACAGCGACGTGCATCGGAGTAGACCCATCGTCGGCCTTGTCGTCGTTCACATCAGATATGAAATCCAGCATCCAGGACGCCAGGCTTTTGGCAATATCGGCACTCCCACCATCCAACGCGCTTACTACACTCAGAAAGGCACTAGATTGAGCGTCTGGTCCTTTCATGATCTTGCATCGCCCACTCGCTAGCAAGATATGGAAGATAGCCATTTTCTCTGGACGGCTGGTTTCGAAACCCAAGATTGCAAAATGTAGTGGCGTGGGTGTGGTGGTATTTTGCGGGACCTTAGCCGGATCAGCGCCTGCCTCGAGAAGTAGTTCGACTATTGCCAGGCTGCAAATTTGCTTGCCGACTGCGATGTGCAGTGGTGTGTAACCCATGAATCCGATGACGTTTGGATTGGCTCCTAGTCTGAGTAATTCTGCAGTCACACCGACATCCTTTTCGACTATGGCAGCAAACAGCATGTTGCACATGGCTCTCGATCTGACGAGCGCTCCGCCTTGATCTAAGACCCACTCGACCCAACCCAAGTTCTCATCGGCGGTTGGATTGGAGTCGATGTGTTTGTACATGAGAGGGATGGCCTTCATCACTGGTACCAGTTCTACCCTAGATTGCGCAGTGGCCATTTGGAGCGCGATACTATCCTTTGGGTAGTCTGGTCCACCAATGGCTTCTAACAGGATCTTGGCAGCAGCGAGGTGGCCTTTCGTCATGGTCATATCGAGGATCTTGTCACCATCAGCCCAGTCGACTTCAAAATCTGGTTTGTAATCTGCCCCGTGTGACAGAAGAACCTGTAGCACTTCTGCATGTCCTTGTAATGCAGCAAACATTGCCGGGGTGAAGGATGCTGGATCTAGACTGAGTGCATTGATGTCTGCACCGCTCTCGATTAGTAGTTGTACGACTTCCAATCGGCCATTCATGCTGGCGAGTGATAGGGCGGCTGCTAACATCAGTTGCTGTTCAACAAGTCGTGAAGGCTATATCGACTTACTGAGATCCTCTACGCTACGGTCGTCCACCCTCGCTCCTGCCTCCAACAAGTAAAGAACGACTTCGTGATGTCCATACTCCGCCGCCCACATTAGAACAGTGCAACTATTCTCACTTTTCTCGTGCAGATCTGCTCCTTTGGCGAGAAGTAGTCTGACAATTGCAAGATGTCCATGTTTTGCGGCCAGTATCAAAGGCGTCCTCTCATCCTCGCAGGTCTTGCTAAGTTCTACTCCCTTGCCGATTAGGAAATCAGCCCCATGTATCATGCCGTTCGATGCAGCGAAATGTAACGCGTTGATATTCTCTGTCCCAACTGCTTCCAAGCTGGCGCCATGGTCGAGGAGAAGCTGGATGATTTGGGGTGCTCGATCTTTCTGCATGACGGCATGGTGGGTGGGAGGAAAACCATCGAACGGGCGGGTCACATCTGCGCCTCTTTCTAGCAAGAGCATTATGATGGCGATGTCTTGCTTCAGAATGGCGAGGATTAATGGTGATTCTCCCTCGTCTGTTCCACGTTCGACATTTGCACCGTCGTCCAGCATCTTCTTCACGCCATCTAAGTCTCCGCCTTTGATCGCATCGTGGAACTCATCGTAATCCCATAACCAAGGTCGGCTTTCCCTGGATTCGTCCATTCCTCCGTTGCGCTCTGTTTCCTCTGTCACCGCTAAAGTCGGTACGGGGGTGCCATCTTGTGATCCGGGGATGCTCAGAACATCGTGGTCGTGCTCTACTATTTCGAATCCGTCATCGGAACTGCGCGAGGTTTCATGCGCAGTGTTAGCCCTCAGTGACGGAGTTGTCGCGCTCATGTTGGGTATTGAGGGCACGTTTGGAATTAGTGCAACGACCTCGAGTGTCGTCCGACCGGAGAAGATGATGTTCCAATAAACGCGCCGAACGGCTCTTGTCAAGAGTCTAGAAAGTATAAGTCGAGGTGCGACGTTAATGTTGTGCGTGTATGATCTCGCGGCATTATGACTTCAAAGCTGAACTTATCAGCTGCTAGGCAACACTGCCCATCGGGCGCAAGGCAAGAAGCGTGGCCGCGCTAATGCTGCACAGTCACATTGGTCAAGCAGTCTGGCGGGCGCAAGAGAGGGGTAGTGTGGCGCATGGCATGCAGTGCAGGAAACTTCATAATTGTTGATTTTGAAATCTTATTCATCTGAACGAACGATACATGGGTAATAGAAAGAGCAGGCCCGTTGTTGATCGATCGGTTTAGGCACTGGCGCTTGCTGAGAACGGACTAGTCGTCCTTCTCCAGCCATTGTTTACACGCATCGTAAACCTTGGGGAAGGCGTCATCAAGAGCCATGATCTTCTTGAACTTGTCCTCGCTTATGCACTTGACGAAGTGTAGCATCGACACAAAGATAAAGTCGGCATACGAAACTGTTCACAAGTTAGGACACCAAGTAGACATCATCCAGCCAGCGCATTGTCGCTTACCAGTCTGACCCAGGAAGTAAGGTCCACCGTTCTTCCTCAGTAGATCGCCCGCCTCCTTCGCCGGTGCCTTAGCCGCCTCCCAACACTCGTCCGCATTGGCGTCCTTTTCGACTTGTTCGAGCGGCTTCCCGAACATCTTCTCTCTAGTCTCATTGAAGTAATCCGCACTCGGCTTGTTCAGCAGCACGACTGGCACCTGAGGAATGAGTAGTGGTCTCAATGGGCCTGCTATTTTGGCAATATGGTCCCTGACCTGCACAACGATGGGGTCATCGAGATGCAAAGACGGAGTCGGGTGTTGCTTCTCAAGTTCGTAGGCAATGGGCCAGGAATCCATCTGATAGGTGCCATTCGAATGCTTGATAGCGGGACTGGTGTACTCTGCGAAATAGCCTGGCGCGTCCTTAGGGGTGGGTGGGATGCCGAGGGCTTTGAACTTGGGGGCCAGGTCAGGGTATTCTACCCATTCGGTCGTGTAGTCGATCTTCTTGTAATTCAACACCATGCGAGCTGCGCGCCTGTCAGAATGATTAAGATAGAGCTTGTGGTGTGGATGAACTCACTCTTCCATGGGTTCAATGACCATGAGGAACCACTCCTGCTAGGCAGATCGTACAGAACCACGTTTGACGACGACATAACGTTTTGATCTCGATGGTTGATAATCAACAGCAAGATGGAGATGGATGCGATAGATATGCAGCTTTGGGACTGGTTGACATGACGCCCTTCGTGCCTTCTCCACAGTCATTTGTCATCTAGTGTTAGGTGGGGATTAGCTGAGGCTAATCGGCAGTCGCTCTCGCGCGCGGGCATCATCGTCAGAGTTACCATCCCCCTGCTCTTGCGACGACGGATACGTCGCATGAGTAGCACAGGACCATCAAGATGCCTCTTACAACTCCGAGGATTGGTGGGTGCCCGCAAAGGTAAAAGCTGACAGTTTGGCAACCGCGGCCGGTTAGGCAGGTACTCACTCCGCGACGCTTACAACAGCAACAACCACAACCACAACAACGTTGACATCGGCCTAAGCTTATCTCCGGCCTCGAAGAACTTCCACAACTGCATGGCCGAAGTCAGCTGCACTTCGCGACATACTGCAAGCTCCGAGCCTTGCGCTTCTACCCTCCCGCAGCTGCATCTTAGGCGAATGAGCGTTCCGGCCCCCCATACTTGTTGTTCGTGGCGTACAACCACTTGGATATTACTGGACTAGAAACGCCTCGATACTTCGCTTGCATTCAACAGCCTATCTCGCTAACAATAGGACTACCGATCGCTACATATGTACACTCGTTGGTCTAGCGTAAGACTCAGCCTCCAGTTTGGGAAAATCAAGCCTGCCTAGGATGAAGAGTGGTGGGCTGATGTACTTGTCCGAAGCCAGGCTTCACGATAGGTGCATGGTGAGTTGTTGATGTGCTTTTTGGTTTCTATTCTTACGCTTTGGTACTTTCTATCGTCCCTCTATCAGCCTCTGTACTGGACCTACAGTCGCTCCGCCCGCGTCGTGCAACGCCAAAGGCTTGCAGATGCGGCTGTTGTGGCCCCCAAACTTTCAGCCCCCAATATGGTCGTCGCGCGGAAACCCGTCCGAGAGACAGCGATAAGAGCGCGATGTGCGCTCATGAAGACCCCCCACTTCCTCTACTTTATATTACCCCTCTTGCGACTTCTTTTGGTAGTATTATTGCGGAAATCCCTTTCCCATATCCGTATACCCGGGAAATACAACCACAGGCCCGGTACCTTCGACATCGCTAAGGAATGCGCGTGTCGCCCCGCTCTCTACTCAGCTTGCTATCTTCGCCTAAAATACCTGCAGCCTGCCGTCTGACGGCGCGCGAGAGCTTAAGCTACGCAAACTCATCTCTACAACTGTAGATTGAGGAGCAGAACACAAACACATCATCCACTCGCGCAGGACCAGATAATGAACACCATGGATCGGAATCGTACCGTGAGTGGAGGACACTCCGACCACGCGCCATTGATGAGCCATGCCGAATCTCCAGGCTACGACAGCGGCGATGTGGCGATGCAGCATGTTGACGACATATCATACTCGCCATCTAACTCAGCATTAAACACACCCTCCATGGTCCAGTCACCGGAGATGATGGAGTCCAAATCCGGATTTTTCGCCAGCATAGGCAGCCCCAGTTCCACCTTTGACGTTGAGGACGGGACTCATCATCACAACCAACGCACTCCCATTAAGCGCTTCGATCATCGTGAAGCACGAAAGACCCTCATGCTAAACGCTGCGTTGAGGCTACTCGGAACATTATTCTTCAGCGCATTGATGTGCGTCACACTGAGAGCGTGGGAAGGATTTCGCCAACCCGTTGCGCTTTCTAGGATGGATGTTAAGATCTTCAATTCGCTTACACTCGCTCTTTCACTATGTCTGGGTCTGAACTTACTGGCCTCTTTGAAGCACTACGCATCGGTAATCCGATGGTCTTTCCTTACGAAGCGATACATCAGCCTGGAGGTATTCGATCTCATTCTACACCTCGAATCGCTGGCTAGTGTTACTAAGCTCATGATCATATCCTGGCCTGGAATACGTAACAAGAAATGGCTGCGCAAGTTCCGGTGGTTCAAAGACATCAGAGCAGATGGGACGAAGTGGATGTGGCTTGCATGTCTGGTATGGCTTGCTATCAACCTCGGATCTCAGGTTCTGGTCGCATTACTGAGTCTGTTCTGGCCAATGGTGACTTCGGAACTCCCCCTTCTGGCCAATGGAAACGTAACAGTAGCCGACTTGAACGCCTGGTACATTGATACCAATCCTATTGTCAACAACGCCGACGAAGAGCCTCGACTGAAGAATGACACAACTCTAATGGCGGCCTGGTCGTTTGGCATGGAGGCCGCAAGCTACCCCAACTACACTCTTGGGGAAATAGAACACGCCGAATCTGATCTATCCGTTTTGGCAGGTGCACCAATTTACAGAGGCGATGGCGCCTGGTACTACCGCTTTCTCAACCGCTGGCCGCCACGCCCCAGCACCCGCAACGTCACCGTGAAGGCAACATGCAACCACCTCGAGCTACTGAACGACACTGTCCTTTTTGGAGACGATAACATTGATTACCTCTTGGCAAGAGAGCGTGGAACGGAGGACTATCTCCCGTACTACTTGCCCGAAAACGTCAAGGGTGAGACCATTTGGGTTGGATCCGTGGAAGCACACTGCGGCCCAAGATGCACAAACTTCACTGTGGTGCAGCGACCATTCGGCAACATACGCAGCACGTCCTTGTTCATCTGCAACAACACCCTCGGAGAAGTGACCAAGCCCGACAGCACCGACCTAAAACCACACACAGACGCCGACAAGGCAGCCTTATACGGTAGCGAAGAGTTTGCCCGTATCGCCGCTGGTACCATCGCATGGACGGGTATTCCATGGGATCTCTATGACCGACAGACGAGGTACTACGGCCAAGGCTCCAAATGGTCGCCTGATCACGATGTGACGAAACAAGAAGTCGAGGAGATGCTGATGCGTTTCACAATCGGCGCTGTTGCTGCCTTTGACGATCATGGCATCCGATATAATCTCACAGATCAAATTGTGCCTTTGCCAGGCCAACAACTCGACGTAGATTGGTCCTACATCTTCAGCATCCTAGGCGGAATCTGCTTCATCCAATTCCTCGCTCTCTGCACGCTGGGTCTCTTCGGCAACCGCACGATTGTCCGTGACGAGAGTTTCTTCAGTATGGCTATGCTGTTGAAACCGGTGGTGAGTCGTATTGGAGGTGATGCGGCGATGGTCATGAGTGGGGATGAAATTAAAGATACGAGGGCGCTGCGGTTCAAGAAGATCATGTATGATTACCATGAGGGGGAAAGGGGGGAGCCGAACAAGGTTGCTATTTTCTTTGAGGGCGAGGATCGTAGGGAGAGTCGGAAGAGTTGGGCGGCGGGGAGTTATAGTTAGGGGATGGGTGTACGTCGGGCGTCTTTGAGCGTTTGTTCATGCAATGCATATAGTTGTATCATTTTGAGTCGGCTACATCAACAGTACTATAGTACACTACTCGCTCCCTCATTTCTTCTTACCGTCCAAATCCGTGTAAAAGTTCCATCCAAAGTTGCCCGAAGGATCGTTAAACCGCATCTTCTTATCAATGCCAGTAATCTTCTCTACATCCTCCTTAGGCAGCGCAAAGTCACCCTCCAGATTCGCCTTGATCCTCGACTCAGTCTTGCTCTTGGGAATAACAGAATGGCCCTTCGCAATGCCCCAAGCCAGAGCAACCTGCGCACCAGTCTTGCCATGCTTCTTGCCAATCTCCACAAGCACAGGGTCATCCATCAGCTTATTCATGTT